AGTTGACACTGCAGCAAAGGAATCGGAAATGCTGTAGATTAAAATAGCCTTTGATAGAATTGAAGAGCTACTTCCTTTTGAGAGCCTCTCTCTCTCTCTCTCTCTCTCTCCGTGTGTGTGTGTGTGTGTGTGTGGTGGGGATAGTGAGGAAATAGAACAAAGGTGTTTGGGGGCTAGAGCCAGGTGTGAAACCTTACGCTTGGGGAGCAAATACATCTCTCTGGAACTCTCTATGTAGCCCCGAGGCCTCCCTTCCCAGGGCACGCTTGGGGAGCAAATACATCTCTCTGGAACTCTCTATGTAGCCCCGAGGCCTCCCTTCCCAGGGCACGCCCCCTCTCCCCAGCCACACCCCTCCCCAGTCTTGCTCCACCCTCTCTTTGTGAAGCCTTAATTAGACATACTGCTGGGAGGGGTCAGGCAGAGTGAAGATGGATGAAGACAGATCCCTCTAGGTTCATAAGATGCCCAAATCTGGTCAAATCCCCTGCTGACCCCCCCAAAATCAGATTTGGGTTGGGATCCATGATTTGGCCCGATCTAGTGCACAGCCCTAGCTACCACATAGGGAAAGAAAAATCAGTAAAATGTAAAGTACAATTAAAACATCCATTATAATCAATATACAGTTTTGTTCTGATTGGCATCAAATACAGGGGGAGAACCAGGCAATGAGTTGCGTCTGCCGTCTGCCCCCGGCATAGCAAAAGCCTGTTTTTTAAAAAGAGGATTGGACAAATTAAGGGAGGGCAAGGCTGTCGATGGCTACTAACCATGAATGGGAATGGTTCTGGAATCCAGTTGCTGCAAACTGTAGGAGGGGAGAGCGCTGTTGGGGTTAGGTCTTGTTTGTGGGCTTCCCTTTGGGGCACCTGGCTGGCCACCGTGAGAACAAGATGCTGGACTGCCTGGGCCACTGCTCTGATCCATCAGGCTCTCTTTACCTTCTTCTTAATGTTGGGACTATTTGTGCTTGCAAGGGAAAGGAGAGGCCCTGCTCTGGTTCCTGCACAGTGAGCCCCTCTGCCAGTCTCAGGTGGTCTTGATAGAGAAAGGGGTACATTAGATCCCTCTGCATTGGGCTGCATGTACACCACATTAATGCCATACACACACACCCCATTTCTGTGCAAAAGAAGCTCCATTCTCCTCCCAACCCTATATTTCCTCCTCCTCCCTGCCAGTTCCCACTGCCCAGCTAAAGTGGCTCCTTGCTCTGAAATTCCACCCACCAACTTACCAAACTGTTTTGCTTGCTGGGGGCTTCTGGGTCTCCCAGCCTACACAAATCCTGCTGCCATTGCCGCTGGTTCTCGGGCCGTGAAAAGACCGAATGTGTCACTTGCTCCCTTTTTAAACAACCCCCCCTCCACTTCCTTTTTTCTCCAAAAAAGGGTCCTTTTGTCCCCTTTGAAAGGGCTGTTCTTCCAACAGAGGTATAATTTCCGAGTCCCCTGTGGTGGCCATACAAATGAGCCCAACAGAAGGTGTGCATTATGGAAATGTATAGTTTTCCAGAAAAGATGGAGGTTGCTTCTGTTGAGGGTGTGTGGGAGGGATGTAAATAAAACAAAAGCACCAAGGAGCCGAGTGTGAAGGTGCTGGGCGTGGGTCTCCTTGAAGGGGTTGGGGGAACGCTACAGAAATGCCCAGGCTTTGGGATGGGCTGCCCAATGACTTATGGTTCTCATCGCCTCACCTTGGCTGAGGGCGGCCCCGCTGGGTCTAATGAGACCAGAAAGTGGGGTGGGTGGAGCAATGATTGATGGTTCCCCCACAGATGTGCCTTGCTGGCATCCCGCCTCCCTTGCCGGTTTTTTTCAATGGACAACAAAGGATGCTTGACTGGCGGGAAGCGGGAGGGGGGCACCAATTCAGCCCCCTATTTCCCCCACCCCCATGCACCACTGCTTCCCAGAACTCCTGTTTGCTGCTTGCTGCAATTGTTCAAAGAAAGAAACGGCCATCTCTGTTGCCCCCACCCCAAACAACAACGCCTTATTTGTGTGAAAATAGAGGGAGGCCTCAGCGGCAGGAACTCAGCTTGCAGTGCTAATGGGGAGCTCAGATTTGGAATAGCGGAAGGCAGCCAGAGTGCTATTTTTAAGGAACTTGGTGGGTGGGTGGGGGGTTAAGATTATTGACTATTTAAAAGTGAGAACTTCTGCGCAGGTTTCTTTATTCAAAACTTTCCAAGGAGCTGCCTTTCCTGCTTCACAGAAGTGTCCTCCCTCTCCTTTCATGGAAGCCTTTGGCTGGGTCTGCCTGCAGTAAACCAGAGGATTGAGTTGTGGGGAAGAGCACCAGAAGCACCTGGCTGCTGGATCAGACCCAAAGACGACCCATGTACAGTGGTACCTCAGGTTAAGTACTTAATTTGTTCCGGAGGTCCGTTCTTTTTTTTAAAATTTTTTTTAATAAGTTTTTATTGTTAAAATAGTTCATCATTAATACACATATACAAGCATACAAACATACATTTCATACAATCCTTAAAAGTGTTCAAACATACCGTATTTTTTGCTCTATAAGATGCACCAGACCATAAGACGCACCTAGTTTTTGGATGAGAAAAACAAGAAAAAAAACATTCTGAATCTCAGAAGCCAGAACAACAAGAGGGATTGCTGCACAGTGAAAGCAGTGATCCCTCTTGCTGTTCTGGCTTCTGGGATAGCTGCGCAGCCAGCATTTGCTCCATAAGACGCACACACATTTTCCCTTACTTTTTAGGAGGGAAAAAGTGAGTCTTATAGAGCAAAAAATACGGTACTTACACTCAATCCCACAAATAATTCCTTTCCCCATCACCATCCACCACCCCTCACCCCACCTTTGTGTTTGACTTCCAATCTACTCAATTACAATTTCTTTCCACTTCTATTACTTTCTTTCACACACCTTTAGCCTAATTTCATACTTCTTTTTCTATTACACATTGTTATCCATCTTATTTGATATTTCAGTGTTTGAAACGGAACTTGTTTATTCTAATAGGAGTTCTGATTTCTCGATATGATTTTGCAAGTATCTTTTAAACACCTTCCAGTCCCTATCTATCTTTTCTTTTGAAATCCTTCCAATTTCTTCCATTATTTTGGATATATTGTAAACCGGAGGTCCGTTCTTAACCTGAAACTGTTCTTAACCTGAAGCACCACTTTAGCTAATGGGGCCTCCCGCTGCCGCCGCGCCACCGCTGCGCGATTTCTGTTCTCATCCTGAAGCAAAATTCTTAACCTGAAGCACTATTTCTGGGTTAGCGGAGTCTGTAACCTGAAGCGTATGTAACCTGAAACATATGTAACCTGAGGTACCACTGTAGTCCAGTTTCAGGGCACGTCTTAGTTTCTTAGGGGCAAAATGAACAATACAGTGTCTCAAGCCATGTGTTAAAATGCAGGCCCTGTCATATTCCTGTCACGTTATCTCTGGGAATGCATGTGCACGATTTAAAGTGAAGCATGGGGTGGAAGCGGGGAGGTTGAACCCAAGAACAGCCTCCTAGATCAGGCCAATGGCCCATCTAGTCCACCACCCTTTTCTCACAGAGGCCAACCGGATGCCCCTATGGGAAACCCAGAAGCAGGACCCAAGCGCAAGAGTGGCTCTCCCATCCTGTGGTTTCCAGCAACTGGGTATTCAGAAGCATTGCTGTCTCCAGCTGTGGAGGCAGAGCCATCGTGACCATCAATAGCCCTCTCCTCCTCGAGAATTCTCCCCCCTCCCTGTTGACTGCTCTGTCCAGGCACACATCTGTTCTTAAATTAGCTTTAGAGATTTCATTACAGTGGTGCCTCGGGTTACATACGCTTCAGGTTACATACGCTTCAGGTTACAGACTCTGCTAACCCAGAAATAGTGCTTCAGGTTAAGAACTTTGCTTCAGGATGAGAACAGAAATCGTGCTCCAGCAGTGCGGCGGCAGCAGGAGGCCCCATTAGCTAAAGTGGTGCTTCAGGTTAAGAACAGTTACAGGTTAAGAACAGTCCTCCAGAATGAATTAAGTACTCAACCCGAGGTACCACTGTATTGCTTTTGAAATCTGCTTTCATTTTTCATTCTATTCCTTTGGAAAGATGACTAAACACCAGGAAGAACTTTCGGACAGTAAGAGCTTTCCGACAGTGGAACGGACTCCCTTGGGAAAGTGGTGAACACTCCTTCCTTGGAGGTTTCAAAGCAGAGGTTGGATGGTCACCTGCCAGGGATTCTTTGGCCGTGTGATTCCTGCAATGCTGGGGTTGAGCTAGATGACTTTTGGGGATGCCTTCCAACTCTGCAATTCTATGATTCTATGAAATAATAGATCCCCCTTTAAAACAATTGCACTGATCGTTCGACACTTAAGTCTTTTGTACTGCAGACTCCTGAGCTATTTCGGTTTGATGGCTTCGTTTCCAGGTGCTTCCGAGCTCAGAAATGTTCCTCATTCTGCCATGGTATATCAGGGGCTGCTAGATGAAGCTGTCACTTTTTGTGAACGCCCCCCCCCCTTCCTGGCTACCCAGAGCCTGTAACTTCTCTCTCTGGCTTGCACAGTCTCAGCGCAGCTTAGAGGAGCTTATTGGTGGGTGAGCAGGCGGGGGGGGGGGGTCCTTATTGGCTCCCCCCTCCCTTCTTCTTTTGCATAAGAATCCTGCTGGGAAATGGCTGTTTATGCTTCAGGGAGGCTGATGTTTAAGGAGTGTTTGCAAGGGCTGATGGGGAAAAGCTTCTCTCTCTTTCTCTCCCACCACCAAATGGGTGATGCATTTTTATTAGACTTGATATATAATGGCTGCTAATAAGAACTATAAGAACCTTCCTCTCTGCCAGGGCTGTCACAGCTTCAACCAGCAAAAAAGCTGATTAAGCAAAACATAGGCTGAGGAGAACATGGGAGGCTGCCTTATACAGAGTCAGACCAACAGTCCATCTAGTCCAGTGCTGTCTACACTGACTGGCAGCAGCTCTCCAGGGTTTCAGACTGGGACATTGCCAGGCCTACCAGTGGGGAGTGCCTGCCAGTGGGGATTGAACCTGGGACCTTCTGCATACAAAGCAGGTGCTCTACCCCTGAGCTGTGCTCCTTCCTTTAAGTTAGACATAGGAAGCTGCCTTAAATGGAGTCAGACTCTTGGTCCATTTACGCAGCTTAGTATTGCCTACACTGACCGGCAGCAATGGCTCTCAATTCAGACAGGGAATCTCTCCTAGCCCTATCTGGAGATTGCACCTGGGGCATTCTGTATGCAAAGCAGGTGCTCTACCACTAAGCTGCACCTCTTCCATTTAGGATTATAGTCCTCCTTTAGACTACCTGCTACAGTGGGTAAAGTGACTGTGTCCCTCTGCCCCTGGATCTCATTAGGGGGCACTTTCACCACATCCACCTGCCCAAAGCTAACCTAATAAGCGAGGTTTGCAGGCCCCGTTAATGATCAACTGATCCTTGCTTGCCAGCTTGGAACCCTTGACATCTCCCAAGAGAAATGGGGAATTCTGGAACACGATAAAGCTAAGCCCTTACAGCCAATAACCTTTAAGATCTTGTGTGTGTGTTTGTGTGTGTGAGAGAAAATGAGAACATTTCCCTGTTCTTATGTGGCCTTTTAGCTGGTGTGAGCGGCATGGCCATAGCCAGGATTTACATTAGGGGGAGCAGGCTTCATATTGGATAGAGAACCTACAGAAGGACTCTATATGGGCTCTTGGGTGCCCCAGAAGGGGAAAGGAGCAGTTCCCCCCCCCCATAACAGGGACCAGAAACTCGGTTATTTAATTACTTTTATTGATTTGCTTGATTGGAGGGGGCAGATGCCCCCCGCCCCACATTTTTCATTAGGACAGTGGCACATGCCAAAACATTCCTAGATCTGGAAAACCAGCCAAAAATTCTCTTTGCAGAGCAGTATGTAAATCAATCTCTTCCATTCTTCAGAGCCTGCCCCCCTTTTGAGAGAGAGAAAGAGAGAGAGAATGAGAATGAGAATGGTACCATTGTGGAACCAGAAGACCTGGGCATAAGACATTCTCTAGGCGGGCTTATTTCCTCCCTTAGCAGAAGGGATCTGATCTGGAGAGGTTTTATCTGAGATTCCTTCTCCTCCCACTGTGCAATTTGATCTCCTGCCACCCTGCTTCCTCCCCCCTTCCCTCCCCCTGGCCCCCACTGTCCCACAGCTTCTTCCGAATGAAACTGGCTTCCACAGAGACTCCCCAAACTACTTATGTGAAGATTTAGGCAAGCTTTCCAAAGGTTTGGTTTGCAAGGTCAGGGGTGAGGAACTGAGGGCTCCTCCACATTTCCGTTTGTTCTGCGATTTCTAGTTGCGCTTTCTACTGCTGAATCAGAACGAATATCAATCAGGTTTGTTCCATTCAGCAGTAAACTGCAGGTTTTCCTAGGGAAAGTGGTGGGACAAAACTAAAACATCTCAGATCCATGTCTAGAAGTCACGGGACAAACCTGGGAGAAATCATTGGACAAATAGTAGTGTTTGGGTGAGTCCTAAATCTGGCCAGTAGACTAGATCCTGGCCTCCACTACCTTCCTGCAGCCCCCCCCTTTTTTGCTTCCTTGACCCTGGCATTTTGAAATCAAGGATTTGGCTGACACTCTGAGATTTTGGATATTTGATTTATTTGGGGATTTAGGTGCTGCTTTTGCACCTGCAAATGCTTTTTACGGAAAGCACTTAAAAACAATTATGTGGCAGAAAATAAATTGCTGTGCCTGCGTATTTGTCGAGGAAAATGCTAAATCCCATTAGCTGCCTTTGGCAACTTTTCTTGTGGGTCCTGCTGTTCTCCTTTCACAGCAGCCTGAAACACAGAAGTGGAGGAGGCAGAAGCTTTTCCTGTGTGACTCCATTGAACTCAGTGGGACATACTTCGGAGTAGATTAGTGGAAGGGTCTCTTTTTATTGAGCGTGTGGCTCTGCTGCTCAGAACATGTCATTCTTGCTCCAAGGAGCTACAGAGTTCGACTAAAATCATCGAAGGTTGGAACAGATCCCCTATGAGAAAAGTTGGGGCTTTTTATAGTTGGGGGGGGGGGGAATCTGAGGAAGGGGCACATGATTGCAGAGTCTACAAAATCATGCAGGGTGTAGAGAAATGGGTGGAGAGATGTTCTCTTCTCCTGCCCATGATTCTAGAACCACCCAATGAGGCTGGATGTTGGGAGATTCAGGACAGAGGAAATAAAATCCTCCTTGACATGCAGGAGGCAGTGATGGCCTCTAACCTGGATGGCTTTAAAAGAGGATTGGACAAGTTCATGGAGGAGGAGGCTATCAATGGCTACTAGCCACAGGGATTATGCTTTGTATCCATAGTCATATGCAGCAACGCTTCTGAATACCAGCCACTGGAAACCACAGGAGGGAAAGGGAGACGATGGAATAGGCTCCCAGTGGAGGCAGTGATGGGCTCCAACTCCAGGTTTCAAAGAGAGGCTATTGATGGCTACTTGTTGTTGTTGTTATCCAACTTTCCCCCTGACATGACTCAAGGTGGCTTACAGATAAATGTCAATGTATTGCTGGACTAGATGGGCCCTTGGTCTGATCCAGAAGGCTCTTTTGATGCTCTTATGTTCTTACGTTCAAGCTATCTGACTTTGTCCTTCTCTTTCCCTGGCCCCGGATGAGCAAGTGATACTACTTCCCCTTGCACAGTGTCTCCTGTGAGCAGCACATGAGCCCAACCACAGATGTGTTCCTCTTGGCTTCACCTCTGCGCCTGTCTCCTGCTCCTCCTTCCGCTTCCCATCATGTAGCTGTGCTCACTGTGCTGCCAGGAGGCATCCCAGACGTCTTCCTTAGGGAGGGGAGAGGGTGACTGGAGACAGTGTTGTTGAGTAGAGAGCACCCCCTTCCACACACGTACCAGCTTCCACCCAAAGGACTGTGTGGAGATCCATCTGTTGCTCAGCATATACCACAATGGTGTTATTTCCCACCCCATAAGTCTTAATTAGCTGTGACAGGTGTAAATAATTCACAGCCTCCTGCTCTTTTTCATGCCTGGCAAATTCATATGCATGCAGTAAATACAGCCTTGGGTTTCGTGCCCACATATTCTCCGCTGCAGCTCCGATATCGGCTCCATCCTTTCCAGGAGTCCTCAGAAAATCACTGAGCATGAATTGGCCATGTTCTCAGCCCTCCGTATGTTTTGGGCTGTAGCAGGTCGAGGCAGATGGGAGCTGAGCTGCATTGGCTGGTGCTGAGGGGAGCTGTAATCCAAGGCATATGGAGGGATCACCAGGTTGGAGGAGGCTTCTGTAGACACTGCTTCATCTCCCACATCTAGGATCATAGAATTGGTCCCTGCAATTCAGGAATTACATATGAAGAATCCCTGACTGCTCTGGCTAACTCATAGGCTACAGGCTGCCTACAGCCACCAAGGGGCTTTAGTGGTCTCCCATCAACACCCCCTATTTGTAATTTGAATGAATCATATTTTAAAGCAAGTTTTGACTGCTCCTATGGGTCCCCTGCTTTGGAGCTATGAAGTTTTTCTCTCCCCCGCAACCCTCAACTTTAAGTTTTTTTAAAATGTTTTTGAAATTACTGACTGCTCCCATTTTTATTGTTTATTGATTTTTATTAATTTTCAACATATCATTTTCAACAGTAATTAAACATATTTTGACATCTTATACAATTTTTTTGACTTCCATCAATCTCATCTGAAAATTTTCCAATCTAATCTCTAAATACACATTTCCCACTTCTTCAATTACATTTAATTCATAACTAATATCACTGTTCTGTTTCTAATTTGCAATGCTTCATACATTTCTCCTTGTAGTCCTACTAGCGTAATTTGCTGGTTACAGTTGCTCTTCAAATAATTTGTATATTTCTTCCAATCTTCTGTAAATCTCTGGTCCCGCAGGTTTCGAATCCTTCCTTTCATTTTATCCAATTCTGCATAGTCCATTAATTTTGTTTGCCATTCTTCTTTCATCGGCATCTCCTCTTGTTTCCAGACTGCTCCCATTTTTAAATCACCATCATTTTAAAAAGTACTTTTATGGAGCACTCCTGCAGGTCCCCTGATATGATGCCAAAAGGTTTCTGTGATACCCCCCCCCCGAAGCATCCACCCCCTCAATGTATCATAAAAAAACCTTCAGTATTTCCAGTTTGGCACATGGGGCCTTCAGTGTTGACCCATGGGCCAATGTGAGCCTCAGCCTGAAAAAGCTTTGCCACCCGTGGTCTAAAATAAGGGTGCTTTCCGTGGATACAGAAGTATTTCCACTCTCCACTGTCCAGTGTTTGGGCTTCCTGGCACGATCTGCAGCAAATCATTAAGCCATTTTGTGAGTTGGAAGGCAGGTGTGTGCATTCTGGGGCTCAGCTCAAATGGGAGGGTGGCTGTCATTTGGCAAGGACCCTCCTTAGATGTGAATTTCACACTTGGTTCCCCACAAAGACATTGCTTTTGCAGCTTCAGAACTGCTGTTGCCTTAATGTTAAATTGTGGTATTCCATCCTACAGGAGGTAGTGGTGGTTTCCCAGGGGCATTTTGGTGGCCACTGTGAGAACAGGATGCTGGACTAGATGGGCCATTGGCCTGTCCAGCAGGTGCTTCTTATGTTCCTAATGTCCTTTTGCTAATCATCCTACCCACTGAAGTGTTCTTTAGGCAATGGGTGTGGGATTTAAAAAAATATTTTTGCTGGGGCAGGGAGCTTGAATCTGGAAAATATAAGTGGCCTGAGTTTTTATGTGGTTGCTTAATCAGCACAAGACACACACACACACACAGAGAGAGAGAGAGAGAGAGAGAGAGAGCGCAATTGATCTGTTTGTTACCAAACCCACAGTGGAAATAAGAAGGAAAACCCCGAAGATTTATTTGAAGTACCTGCTGGGTATTTGGCAGAAGCAACCCACAGTGCATCTTTTTGTTTGGATGATGGAAGCATGGGCATAGCCAGGGGGGCAGGGAGGGGCAGCTACCCCCCTAAATCAATACAAATCAATAAAATACATAACAAACTGAGGTTCTGCCCCCCCCCACAAAAGGCCTCTCTCTCCAACAAAAATCCTGGCTGCACCCATGGATGGAAATATCTGCAATAAAAACTGAACAGATTCCTCCCCACCCCTGCAGGTAGCATTCTCCTCATTATGTTTAGGCACTTAGTTTTCTCTGGTCTTGGTGACAGAGCGCAGGGGTAGGCATTTGATTGTTAATTTGGAAATCTTCCAAGCTCAAAGCTGCAGCACAGTGGTAGATCATCTGCATTCCATGCGGAAGGTCCCAGATAGAACCCCCATAGCATCTCCAGGTAAAAGGTAAAGGTAAAGAGACCCCTGACCATTAGGTCCAGTCGTGACCAACTCTGGGGTTGCGGTGCTCATCTCGCTTTATTGGCCGAGGGAGCCGGAGTACAGCTTCCGGGTCATGTGGCCAGCATGACTAAGCCGCTTCTGGCGAACCAGAGCAGCGCACGGAAACGCCGTTTACCTTCCCGCCGGAGCGGTACTGCTAGGTTGGCAGGAGCAGGGACCGAGCAATGGGAGCTCACCCCGTCATGGGGATTTGAACTGCCGACCTTCTGATCGGCAAGTCCTAGGCTCTGTGGTTTAACCCACAGCGCCACCCACGTTCCAAATCTCCAGGTAGGGCAAGGAAAAATCCCCTGGATGAAACCCTGGGGTTCAACCACACTTACGGTATATTTTCCTCTGCGCTTTCCCAGTCCATGCCCAAATTCTCTCCCCCCCCCGCCCAGCTTTCCCCAGGAAAGCCCACTCTTTATTGTTGACTTGGAGCAAATGACAATTTGGGTTTTCTGCAGATTGCAATTTGCTCTTATTTAACAGTAAAGAATGGATTTTCACAAAGAAAGCACCAGGGCAAAAAAGAAAAAAAGTTGTCAGACCTGGACCTGGACAGCCCAGATCTGTGCCTAGAAATGAGGAGCAAAGCTAAGTGTGGATTAGCCCCTGGAGAGTTGCTGCCAGTCAGTGTGGACAGTGCAGACTTTATTGAATTGTATTAATTGTTTTGTTGAATTTGTTCCTGTTGTTTGCTTTATTCCTAAGCTATTGTGTTTGATATTATAATGATTGCAACATTTGTGGGTTGTTGTTTTTTAATGCTATTGTGATTATTGTAAGCCACTTTGAGCTCAATGCTTGTTGTTGGAAAAGTGGATTACAAATATTAAATCAAATCAAATCAGAGCTAGGTGGACCCAATGATCCGACTTGGTATAAGGCAGCTTCCCTCCCACTTTTCATGGCTGCTAGCCCTGATGGTTGTGCTCTGCCTCCACAATGACAGACAGCAATGCTTCTGAATGCATGTTGCTGGAAAACACAGGAGAGGAGAGGGTCTTGCTTGCCAGCTTTCAACAGGCATCTGGGTGGCCACTGTGAGAGCAGGATTCAGGGCTAGATGGGCACCTGGCCTGACCCAGCAGCCTCTTCTGATGTTCTTGTGGTTGCTCAAGTAAGGGGGGGTTGTCTCAGAGTTACAAAGAACCTGCAGCAGCACCCAAGTTAAAGAACACCCTGGCCTGCAGCATCTCACCAGACTGGAATTTGCCATGATTTTCCCTGTTCCCGGCTAAGGTGGATTCACCATGACACGAGATCTGAAGTGTGTGTCTGCAAGATGGTTCCCTTACAGGAACACGATATGACTGAGGAAGTTCTCATCTCGGAGAGGCATCTTGTTTCCCGGGAGACGCGGCACTCTCAAGTTCTGCAAAGGGCAGGAGGCTTCAGCTTCCGAAGTCGGCACGACTGCCTGCTTGGCAGCTGTCCTTGGGTGACTCGCCAGCAGAGCTTCGCCTCGGTTCCTGTTTCTGGGTCTGAGCAGGCGGCTGTGTGCTTGACTTGCATGGCTGCTTTCTCTCTCCCCTCTTTGGGGAGTGTGGTAGCAGAAACATGCGCCCTGAAGGATGAGCAGCCTCAGCCACCGAGGGCAGCGTGTTGGAAGCGCAGAGCAGAAGGCTCTTCGAGGAAAAGCAGCTCCAGAGGACTCCCCTTTCATTCTGGGCGGCTTCCAACATCTGTAAAAACATAGTAAAACATCAAAACTTCCCTACACAGGGCTGCCTTCAGATACCTTCTAAAGGTTGTGTGGTTACTTATCTCCCTGGCTTGGGTATCGCATAACTCTGTACCCTCCAATGTTTCTCCAATGAAAATAGGAACATCCTAAGGAAAAGCGGGACATTCTGGGATCAAATTAGAAACCGTGATAGCTTCTGTAAATCCAGGACTGTCCCTGGACACTTGGATTTCAGTAGTGGCACCTACCCTGTGGAACGCCCTCCCACCAGATGTCAACTACCAGACTTGTAGAAGACATCTGAAGGCAGCCCTGTTTAGGGAAGCTTTTAATGTTTAATAGACTATTGTATTTTAATATTCTGTTGGAAGCTGCTCAGAGTGGCTGGGGAAACCCAGCCAGATGGGCGGGGTATAAATAATAAATTATTATTATTATTATTATTATTATTATTATTATTATTGGAGGGTCTGAGCTCAGCATCCTAACTGTGGCTTTCAGCTACTGGTATTCAGAAGCATTGCTGCCTTCAACTTGTAGCAGCAGAGCATAGCCATCACGGCTAGTAGCCATGAATAGCCCTCTCCTCCATGAATTTGTTTAATCCCCTTTTAAAGAGATCTAGGTTGGTGGTCATCACTGCCTTCCTGTGGAAGTGAGTTCCATAGATTAACAATGCACTGTGTGAAGAGGGACTTTCTTTAATCTGGCCTGAATCTTCCAGCAGCTGACCCGAGCACAACAGCACCACTCTGTTTGCCTGTGATTCCCAGCAACTAGTATTCAGAGACATGTTGCTTCTGACAATACAGGGAAAATTGGGCTTCTTTAAGTTTCCCATTTTTTCTGTTCTTAAGCTCAGTTTTGCCACATTTCCAGATCAGTTTGCAAGCATTTATCAAAAGTACTCCTGGAGATATGTCAGCATGTGTCCCCCCCCGAACTACACAAAAAAATTTGCAAGCAGTTTTCTTCAATATAATGCATTTTTGTAAGCTGGTTACACCCATGGATGCTTTTTAACGTACACCTTTGACTTGCACATTTTTGTACGCCTGTTTTGTTCAGAAAACCACATTGAAAAATTCTCACTGCAGAGCGAATTTTGGAGGAGCACCGTGTTTCATTTTGTTTTGTTTGGGGAATTGCAATCAGATGAGTTCCCATTAAACTGTGAATGGAACCAAATTTCTCCCCCATGCCAATTCAGGGGCTCATTATGTGGTCAGACAGAGACTTGTTTCGTTGCCAGGCGATGAAGATTTCCAGAGCTAGTTTCTCGCAGCAAAAGCAACAAAGACTCTTACAGCACTTTAAGGACTAAGACCTCATCCACACTGCCACTTATCCCAACACTTTCCCCTTGGAAAACTCGCTGGTTACTGCTGAATCAAAACAAATGCCAATTGGCTTTTCTGCGGATTGACATTTGTTCTGACTCAGAGGTAAACAGTGGGTTTTCCCAGGGAAAGTGGTGAGAAATGAAAAACCACTTAGACCTGTGCCTATAAATATACTTGGTACAAGCGGAAAGTATATTCAACTGTTTTTATTATGTAGCAAATAACTTCCGGATGCTTCATAGGAAGCCGTTCACAAATGAAATAACTATTAGAGGCGACCAAGCAACTTTCTTCTGTCCATGTGCTGTTGCTTCATCTCTGATGCAGCAGAGATAAACAAGAAACAAAAACATGAAACCTTCTCTTGGGGCAGCAGTGGCAGCAGCAAATGGCAACCCTCCTTTGCTTTTTCCATTCATCAATCAACAATACGCAAACCCATCAAACCATATCTCCACCAGAGCCTGTAACGTGCCCCTTACGTAGGAACTGAGCACCCACACCAGCCTGTTGCCTTCTAGATCTTTTGGACGATGACAGTCATTAACATAAGCACACAGGAAGCTGCCTTCTACTGAGTCAAGCCACTGGCTCCACAGGGTTTCAGGAAGAGATATCTCTCCAAGCCCTACCTGGCGATGCCATTGGGGATTGAACCTGGGACCTTCTGCATGCAAAGCAGATGCTCTCCCGCTGAGCTATGGCCCTTTCCTGCGTTACTCCCAGTCAGCATGGCTGTTTGATGCTGGGACTGCTGGCTGGGGCTGATAGGAGTTGTAGTGCAAAACATCTGGCATCCACCTGGGTTGGGAAGACTGGCATACCATGTTGAATTTGGAGGGCTCAAGACCATGCTAAGGTATGATGAGGCACTTCAGAACTTACGACTGTTATACTTCCTGATGAATAAAAATCAAGGCCGTCTGTCTGCTTAGGACTGCGTGTACAGGATACAACCAGCCTTGGTTTTCTATAAAATGAAATGAAATGTGGGCAGCAGCTGTTGCCTCATCATCCCAGAACCCCAAGTGTATAACCTGATATCTCAGCACCTGGAAGGGACTCATCCGGCCTGCAATCTCCATTCAGGAACTCAGTCTATAAGCAAACCTCACAGCAATAACACCCCACCTAATTGTTATTTTTTTTATATCTCCCTGGCCTTTCAAGCAACCACCACTCTCTGTGCTGTGTTGTAAGATCTCTCCTGACTGAGAGTTCTGCAGAAGTTGAAAACGTGCCACTTTGGGGGGATGTTTTAGCTGGTCCTCTGCAATGTAATACCCAGCTGTGGACTTGGATGGATAACTTTAAGAAATGCTCTGAAAAATGCATTGTGTGTGTGTATGCTCATGTATCCAGGAGCAGGCCTATGAATTTTGCTTTGAGATTTGTCTCAAGCCTAAAATTATGTCCCTGCTTTCAGATCCCTGGCCCCTTTGTATTTCGGAGCTACGTTTCCATCTGCTTTGGCAACTTGGGCTGATAACCTTTCTGGCGCCTGCTGAATTCTGAAAGCCTCAGCATTTTGGGAGTGAGATGTCTGTGGAATTGCAAATCTGTTAATTTATACCCTGCAAATATGCACCTCTTCCCCCAGCCCTGTATCAAGCATTGAATAGTCTGGTGGCGTCTGGCTATGACTCTGAAATTAGCAGAAGTATGTTCAGTCCTTTTAATTTTGGGGGGAAACTGCTATATTTTTACTTTTTACTCAGCAAAGGGGAAATGGTCTGGAAATGTTGCTTGCGTGGGTCGATGAAGAGAAAAGCTTGCATGAAGCAACTGGTTAGCGGCTCTTGAGTTTGAGGAAACCAGGCAGTGTGTCCCCTGATACCACGATCTGCATCTTAGGAGTCATAGCAAGCAAAGAGACTCACGTTCTTGGATGCTTGTGAAACTCTCTAGCTCCCTGGGTGGTCTTAAGGGGTGAGGAGGATGTACTTAGGGATTGGGGTAGGGGAAGAAAATGTGGATTAGCATACTAAGCACATTTACTAAGGCCCATTGAGCAAAATGAGCCTTGCTTTTAAGTAAATAGACATAAAGAAATAATAACAATAAATTAATTTATATGCCACCCATCTGACTGGGTTTCCCCAGCCACTCTGGGCAGCTCCAAACAAAATATTCAAAACACAGTAAAACATCAACCATTAAAAACTCCCCTGAGCAGGGCTGCCTTCAGATGTATTCAAAAAGTTAAAAAGTTGTTTATCTGTTTGACATCTGATGGGGAGGGCATTCAGCTGCATCAGGCTAATGGTCCATCTAGTCCAGCATCCTGTTCTCATAGTTGCCAACCAGATGACACTGGGAGGTAAAGGTAAAGGGACCCCTGACCATTAGGTCCAGTCGTGGCCGACTCTGGGGTTGCGGCGCTCATCTCTCTTTACTGGCTGAGGGAGCCAGCGTACAGCTTCCAGGTCATGTGGCCAGCATGACTAAGCCGCTTCTGGTGAACCAGAGCAACGCACAGAAATGCAGTTTACCTTCCCGCCAGAGCGGTACCTATTTAACTACTTGCACTTTGACATGCTTTCGAATTGCTAGGTTGGCAGGAGCAGGGACCGAGCAATGGGAGCTCACCCCGTTGCAGGGATTCGAACCGCTGACCTTCTGATCAGCAAGTCCTAGGCTCTGTGGTTTAACCCACAGCGCCACCCGCGTCCCTGACACTGGAAGACCCGCAAGCAAATTCAAGCACAAGAGCCCCCTCCCCTCCGGTGGTATCTAGAAACTGAGATTCAGGAGCATTGCAGCCTCTGACCGTGGAGGCAGAGGATAGCCCTCATGGCAACGAACCCTCTCCTCCAGTCCTCTTTTAAAGCTATCCAAGTTGGGGGCCATCACTGCCTCCTGTGGCAATGAGTTCCATAGTTTAGCTATGCACTGTTGCACTTTGGATTTTCAGGGCAGCTAGCCGCCTTTGTGTGCTGCTCTTGGGACAAGTCAGGATATTGCTCATCTTCCCACTGTGCAGAGATGGAGAGGCTAGTGGCCCATATCCCCACATCAAATCAAGGGCAGAAAAAGAAACTCTAAATTACTCTCTCCCAAACTGCAGTGTTCTGCCCACTAGATCACACTCGCTCACAGCACCATTGCCTGCTTCTGTTTTTATTTCTTTATTTTTTGCACATTACACATTACAGGACGGCTCTTGGGTCTTCACAGTCAACATGTTCTCATTTCCCCCAGGTGGAGTTTCCCCAAGGGGACAGCATTGGTGTTCATGCATTTGCAAGTCTGAACAATGTTGCTTTCTTGCTAATTGGTCAGTGACTGAAACTGTCTGTGAGTGCCTTAGAGTTCTCTCTTTCTCTGGCTGGGTACAAGCCATGCATTTGGAGCACATAGCTTTCTGCCCAAGAATCCTACAGTGGACTATTTATTTTTTTAAACCCTTCCAGGGTCAACAGTTGAAGTGTCCTTTGAACCCCTCTTTGCCCCTACAGCAAAAGGAGAATCTGAAGGAAGCACCTGTTGCTCCCTTGGGTATTTGTTCTGTGAGGCAAACCTTAGGTGGCGCCTGTTGACAGGAAGTGGCAGAGAAAACTAGAAGCCTGTCAGTCTCTTCTCCTCAAATCTGTAAGCTGCTTCCTGACCAAGTAAGCCCTCCACCTCTCAAAATGTTTTACAATAAAGCAAGGAAAGCCATATAAACAATTGAGCCAACTTTCTTTCTTTCTTTCTTTCATAAAATTGATAACACAGATTGATGGGGGGTGGGGACCCAGCCCTCAACACAGTTCACAAAGAGAACAAAACAAAATCAGTAAAAAACAAATCTTTACTTATGTATTTACTTATTAAATTTGTATACCGCCCTATACCCACAGGATTCTGGGCAGCTGGAACATAAGTCAGCAATAAAGTAAAAACAGATTAAAACATTGATCGGCATTCTACATGTCAGGGTAGGCTTGCCTAAACAAAGTGTTTCTAGCAGGTACCAGCAAGGTGGCAGTGAAGGCGCTTTCCTGATATCAATAGGCAGGGAGTTCCAAAGGGTAGGCGCTGCCACACCAAAAGATCTTGCTATGTACAGTGGTATCTTGGGTTACAGATGCTTCAGGTTACAGACGTTTCAGGTTACAGACTCCACTAACCCAGAAATAGTACCTCAGGTTAAGAACTTTGCTTCAGGATGAGAACAGAAATCGTGCGGCAGTGGTACGGTGGCAGCGGGAAGCCCCATTAGCTAAAGTGGTATCTCAGGTTAAGAACAGTTTCAGGTTAAGAATGGACCTCAAGAATGAATTAAGTTCTTAACCCGAGGTACCACTGTATACACAAATGCAGAATGAATATGATGTGGCACTTGTAACCATGCCAGTTCCACAGGTCGAAGCGGTTGAGTGGGCATGTATGCAGTAAGGAGATCTTGCAGGTCTTTGTGTGCCCTAGTGGATAACCTTTGTCACGACTCCAGCTCTGCCCCTTTGGCTTCTGGGGTTTCGCAGGGCTCCACGCTATGGTGGCTGGTGCCCACTGGGACTGGCAGGGTGGAAGGCAAGGAGACCAACATTAGGTGGCGCCAGAGCCAATGACAAGCAGAGCCAACTACTTCTCATTTTGTCTCCTCCCTCCTCTCCTTTCTACAAGGGACAGAGGAGGAGGAGGAAGCTGAGAGCCAGGCTCCGCCCCCTGAACTGGCTTTAAGTAGGCAGGTGGGGCTGGCTGAGGCCAGACTGGAGGGGCAGTGCCCCATTTGCTCTCATGGAACAGCCTTCACTGGTTCCACCATGTTCTTCATGCTATTTAACAACCAACTTGAAACAGCTGGGTGAGTTCATCCAGATGTTTGGGCTGAAGAGTCATCAGTAGGCAAGTGACATACTGCTCCACATCTCTTCTTGTATTAACCAAGAGAAGTAGCGGAACTTCTAAACCGGTATTTGCAGGCAGTGAGAAAAACCACCCTTCCTAGCTTTGAGAAAAAACTGCTATCTGGAGAGGTAATTATTTCCAGCATGAATCAATCCATTGCCAATGGGAGTAACTGCCAGCGGATTCCTCAGGGATCCTTTGGGATGTTGCATGTGCTGGCGGACATTGAACAGCCTTTGTCGGAAGCTATTTGCTTTCTCGGAAAGCTCCGGTTCCCTGGAGGGTGCGAGAATCAGAATGGATGGGAATAAGGACTTTCTCACCCGGCACACTGTTAAACTGTGGAATCTGCTTGCACAGGATTTCATGATGGCCACCAGCTCAGATGGCTTTGAGGAGGGGATATGGAAATTCATGGAGGATCAAGGAGCACTGTGTTGCATTCATGAACTGCTTGGGGGCTTCCCATCAGGGCATCTGGTTGGCCACTGTGAGAAGAGGGAAGAGGGGACATGATAAAAGTTTTAAAAATCACGCATGGCATGGAGAAAGTAGATAGAGAATTTTTCTCATGAACGTCCAATGAAACTGTATGTTGGGAGATTCAGAACACAGAATAATAAAATGATAGAATCTTAGAATCCTAGTAGTGGAAGGGACCCAAGGTTCATCTAGTCCAACCCTCTGCAATGCAGGAATCTCTGCTAAAGCATCCATGACAGATAGCCATCCAGCCTCTGCTTAAAAACCTCCAAGGAAGGAGAGTCCGCAACCTCCCGAGGGAAACCGTTCCAAATGTCAAACAGCTCTCACTGTCAGAAAGCTCTCCCTATGTTTAGTCAGAATCTTTATTGTAACATGAAGTCCTTGGTTG